GAAAGCATGTCATGTCATAATTATGTTCAAGTATGTATCAATCACCTTTTAGTTCTTTGGAGCACAAACAGAGAATAATTATGAAGTTCGTGGTATTAATTATATAATATTAAGAATAAAAGTGGCTTGAACACACTCAATATGAATATCCGTGTAATTTTCATCTTTATCCAATTCTTATCGTTATTTTTGCTATCCCAAAAATACAGATTTTTGCACAAATTTTTCAGTACCTAACAGCATTAATTTTACATTCGTCCATTTCATGTAATCAACCATATAGTACCCAAAGGGCCGAAACAAAGGGTTACAGCTACACACAACCGTCTAACACAAATTAAAATAATATCTTTGAAAATGTAATATCATGATCATTAAGCAAAAATTATTGTAGTACCATTATAATTAAGGTTCTAATTTAATTGCTTCGAACATTACGTACCTACATCATATTTATTAAGACAGCCTTTTATTACCCTAAGGGGTAACCAGAGGTGTGAACATGAACATAGGATAGGTATATGAGCCACGCATTTTATAATAGAGGCCAGAGGGGTAATCTTTCACCTATGCACCATTATTATTGTATAGGTAATTTGGAAAGCAGAATACTTTGACCGAACAGTACATGTATTGAAGTATTTGCCAGTTTCGATTAGATTACTCTGATCAAGGGCACAATTAGACTAGTCTTTTTATGGGATAAGCGGTGTCCATGGGCGACGCCGATTGCTTACCATCAGGTGATCCATCTGCTCGTTTACCGACTTATGCCACAAAAAAACAAACTTTCGCATTTAAATCATTCTAAGAGTAAGATTTGATAAAAAAAATATTATAATTATTATAATTGTTAACTTCTGATACCGGGACTCGGCATCCAGCTCTTGCATACCTAGCGTCTCGTGGAATAGATTTCCGAAATCGCCTTTAGTAAATCAATGTTCAATACTTAGCGAAATTTGCCATTAGCATCCTCTATAGTACTCAATGAACAAATACAATTTAATGACTTAAAGCATTATGTAAATATTATAATATAAAAATATTACCTTGATTAGCAAAGTAACCTGATAACCAACTTTCTAAGGAATGTTATTTGTTTGCAGTTAACACAAAAACCTGCGCTTACGCAACCATCAATGCAACATGCGTGTAACCGACCTGAGTAGAATGTAGAGTTGAAGTAATTCTATACTTTACATATTTATACATTTACCTATTTCTTTCTATGTATCTATTTATTTGTATTATGTATTGGTTAGGTTTTTCTGATGATATTCATACATCAATAGATAGTGATAGGCTACTGCTGGACTTGGGGCATCGTCTACATAAGAGGGTTTCCCAAAATCTTCAGTTTTATCAGAATCCAATTCCAAACACCATATAGAGAATTTCTAGATATTTTAGATTTCTAGACTTCATGCTTTCACTCTCTCCCTATGTCGGATTCGAACAAATGCCGCACCCGAGAATCAAACCAGAACCTTGATCGCACTTAAAATCACTCTACCAAAAAAACAATGACCATACAAAGACAAATTATAACAATTTATTCTAATACATAATTTCACTAAAATCATTTCCGTGCTCCGGCGCACAACGTGTGAATACAAAACTGCTGAACCGAAAACGATGCAATTACATTCCTACATACATTACAAGAAGAACTATTGTTTTAAAACTATTTGTCGACAGCATATCAAAGTACCACAATCTGACATCATTCTTCAATAGATTCTTGACATTACGACAAGGTTATAAGGTAGATTTTTGTTTAAAAATGGTATAGCTTGACATGCCGCTGACTACAATTTAATACATTCGATTTGTTCTAGTGTATCATTTGACTGATAAACATCTTATAATGGTCGTGTTAACCGAACTATTTAGCGTGGGAAGTGATTTAGATTTATGTGAAGAATACCTTGTTAGTTAGTAAGAGTGATTGGTGAGAAAAAGGTATGTGGTATGTATTGGGTCGATTCTCATCTTGAATCTTTTACTTTCCGACCAAAAAGGCCGGTTACGCACTTGTTACTCCGCAACTGGGTACCCATGGGTGGCAAATTACTTAAGTTGCGATCGGTTCATGAACTGATTCGTCGTTTGCCCCTGTTCCGAAAAAAAATCATCGTCATACCAGCCATAAGACGTCCGCTGCAGAACATAGAACTGCCCTATTTACAGATAGGCCAGTTGGAAGTCGCTTGCATCCTGAAGCTCTGCAACATACATTTATTAAAAAAAAAATACATGTTACATGTACAAAATAATATTTAATGTTTAATGCCTGTGGTTTAATGAGTTTAATAAGTAATTTCAGTGTGTTAGCATGTTTCTACTTTCTGTTACTAATCGTGGAAACCAGTAATTGGCTTCTTATTGCATACCACATTCTATTTAATCAAATTGTATAGCTGTTGGTTTTCCAAATGTATAAATAAATAAATTAATTAATAAATAGACAATAGAATAATAATAATAGGTGTAGGTAAGCGGAGCGCTCCTGTAAAACACTGAAAAAAAAGTTTTTAACAATTTTATCGTTTTTATTTACGTGTTATTGATGCAACACCAGCGGTGGTTGATTATAATCAATATTTATTTCATTCCTTACTTTAATGAAAATGTAACTTGTTTTTGTTTTCGGGTGCGTTCCGTTTATTCTCCAGTTCTCCATCAACAAGTACTTACATTGCTATAACTAATTCCTTCACTACAAACTAGATGGCGCTACATGCACGTCACGGTTGATCGAGACATACATGCATAGAATTCTTATCGAAGCAACGACATAGTGCCCTATTTCACAGCATTAATTCCATGATAACATTGTTGTTTTTTACCTTTATGTTAATCTAAGTTAAATAAATGAGTTACGTAGGCTGGTAAAGGTAGTAAAGATTTCCTGGTAGTGGCATAGAGTGACTTTATACAGAAGTGGGTTAGTCATAGTTTTATAAGACGGCACGGTCTTATGTTGAGGCTTCGCAAATCATTTATTTTAGTTCAGAATCAACTCGTTCATCATCATTAGCCTATAAGTGACCACAGCTGACCTGCCTCATCTCCACGGAGAAGGTGCAATAAACACCAGATTGCTCAATTCGAGTTGGCGATTTCAATTTTACAATCACAAATTATAAGCCCAGGTTTCCTTACGATGTTTTTAATAATCTATCTTAGAAAGGATAACTCGGAAAAAGTCACATTATAGGTACTTTGCCGTTGGTAGGTTTCGAATCAGCGCTCACATGAATGAGAAGCAGGCGTCTTAAACAGAGGTTTAGGCTCATCACCATATGATCACAATCAACATTCTGACATACTCCTTATACTCTGGTGGATTATAGACCTCTTCTTCATAAGAATGCTTTGACATATTCTCCACGCTTGACTTGACTTGTGTTTAAGATTATATCAGAGAATGCTACAGCGTCTATTGAATGTCTAACCTATTAGTCTGCACTAGAAAAAGAAGACTTGCAAAAGACTTAACGGGTTACCGGGGCTTCGGTTCAAAAAACAGGAGTAAGAACGGAGTGGTTTTAAGTCAATAAGACCTATTCCTTGCACTCTGGCCACGCTCAATGGTCTTTTGTATTCTAATCCTAGACTAGTGATCTGTTTGCGGACGGATGGAAGGAGATTTTATCGGAATGCGTGAAGTACTGTCAGAGAAACTTATGAATGCTGTTAACTCCTGTTTTAATTAAGTTTGTATTTTCTGTTTCGTTATTTATTGTAATAGGTTTTCTACCGTTGTAGCAGTATAAATAAAAAAATAAGCGTCTAATACTCCCTCTTACTCTTACCTCACTCGGACGGGAGAAGTCATTAGATGTTATTCTCCCATAGATAAAAAGGTGGTAACAAATAAAATGCATACTTCTCTACCGGTCAGTACAAGACAAAGTAAACCTCTTATTAAAAAGCCTAAACAACTTGCTTATTCTGTGTCTACTAGCTAGATAGCTAGCTAGCTAACTAGGGAAGCGTGTTACCTACTTGACACATGACTGATGCTGCGTTTAGACGCGACGGCGTCTATTAACTGATCAGGTTTTTGTTAGGAAAATGCATTGAGTACGTTTCTCACTTAAACGACAGACGACGACGTTAGACACGCAAAGTTTATTGGACGTGTTTATGGTGGTGTTCCCAGTCTTCAGCAAAAAAACTGGGGAATGAATTTATCTAGATACAACATGCGATGCAAATGAACCAATCTTTGGACAAATGCAACAATGGATGTGAACTAGATTTCACTAATTGCGGCTAACCACTGTTTTTTATTTTCATTTTTGAATTTTCTTATGAATAAAGCGGTCGTTTGTTTTAGATATATTCTATAGAGACATAGTAGGTACTATACCTAATTACTATAATATCCACCAAGATAAAGAAATCTATGTTTTATCTACTACTTTCGTAGGAAACCTACATAACATCTAACTACGTTTAGCAGTATCATATTAAGTATGTATGTAGTATGTATGCCTAAATATTGTTTTAAATATTGTATTAAGTGATATAATATTCATTGTATACATATTTTTATGTGTAGTTTACATATTATTTAACGATTGAGTTAACCAGAATCCTTATATTTTAAATTGTGTTCTATCTACGCATCAACCGCTTCATTTCCCTGCACTTGGTTGACTGCCAAAGTGACATTTTTTTTGATTAGAAATTAAAAATAAATTGGATATAAAAATACACCATATTATAAATCTCTCATTCAATTAACAAATAGAACAGCCTCATCTATTCCAAAACTCTCCCCACTTCCGTCCCATCTCGTGACGAGTATTTTTCCTATCACATTAATCATAGAGATGTGATAATGTTATCTTATCTTCTCATTATACCTACTATAATTATTTTACCTTTTTTCCTAGACTTGACTTGGTGTGCGCGTGAGTTGCGGTCCCGAGTGTCGCTCGACCTCTCCCGACGTTTGCCGATCGTCCCCGAACCCTTTTCGGAAAATGAAGGGATGGGAATTATTTTTCTTAGCCCTTCTGGGCTTCGCTTTGGGGCAAGGACCGGAAAAACGTAAGTACTTGTTTTACTTTATTTTTTATTTAGATGTATTTTATTTTTAGTTTTTGTTATTTGTTCCTATATCGTTTTGGTACTTAGTCTTTGGGTGTGAATGTTATCAGCTAAGTTCAAAATTAATTACTTCAAAAATAAGTATTGCTTTACATTCACTAGATACTCTCCCAAACGGTTTAAGATACGTTATAATCATCTGACCACTTATGAATACAAAATTTTACGTTATGTTATAGCTATGTATTATTCCCCAATTAGAATAGTTAGCGAGTGTTTTGCCATAAAGCGGCCCTGTTTGTGAACGTCTGAACTATTAAAAAAGTCAAATTTTTGCAAGTTACAATAATAAAACTTACGTAACTTATTTTTGCTTGCATAAGTACCTATGTACTTGGATAAATATCAAGTACATTGTTTCACGTAATGACCATTATTGAATCTTGTAACGATTATTATTTCAAAATCAGTTTCTGAAATTGCTTTCTGTACGCAATTTTCGTTCTGACCATTAAGTTATTTCAAACTTAGGTATTGTACCTACCTATATTTTTACAGCCGTTGAATGTTGACTGTTACATAAGTATGACCGTAATTATAAATATTATGGACTCATTTAATAATTTTATCCTTTTCCAATGTATTGATTGATATACTACAACTTGATTATGCCTACATTTTTTTATATTATATTTTATGGGCCGACGCGACGTTTGACCACTATCTCGCCTGATGTTAAGCGATGATGCGGCCTACGATGGAGCACGTCTGCCCATTAGCAACCTATTTACTAGGGCCTTGAAGAGACCCAGGTTATAAACCCTTCAGGAAACACAAACTCTGGCAACGAATACAATATCTACTTGCCTGTAATTTTCGTTCAGTTTTCAACATTGGACTACATTTTTCAGTTACAAATAAAACTCTGTTTCTCTACTGAAGATTTAAAACAATCTTATGATATATCTAATAATACTTGACTTTGTCGTCTTAAACATTAATCAATTTTAAACTAAATATCTGTAAAATCATTTTAAAATTCGCCATAGATGTTGTCCAAGGAATTCTCTATTGTTTTATATCGGTTATGAATTACTGAATCGTAATTACCGTACAAATTTTGACATACTGAGTAATCTGTCAGTAGTGGTGGTACTGGTATATTGTCTATTTTTGGACTAGTAGCCTATTTATTCTTAAAATGGAGCAAAGTATTTTTAAATTGAGGAATATTTTATTTCTATGTAATTTTGAATCTTGCTATTCTCATTAAAGTGACTGCCAAACCCGATATTGCGGTTGTTTGATATAGGTAGTAATTTACCATATAGTGTGGAGTATGGGATTGTGAATTGCGTGCAGAGTTCCCTACGCTTTATCAAAATATCAACAGCATATAAGGGGCCAGTGCTGGTGGGCCGGTGCTGACCAAAAGCCTTTCACATGGAGAAGGTTTGAGCATTAATCGCCAAGCTTGCTCAATGCGGGTTGGCAATTTCAAACTTAGAATTAGAAATTATTACGATGATTTCCTTCATGGTTTGTCAGGGGTGTCTAAATAATCTTAGAAAGTAGATATAACTCGGAAAAAGTCACATTAGTACTTGCCGTTGGTAGGCTTGGAACCCGCACCCTCATGCATAATGCAGGCGTCGCGGCGTTGAAGGTATCACAATAAAACTGCCACATAGCAACTACATATCTCTATCCACCTACTGCATTTGGATACATGGATCAACATAATATAACATCACGCCTTTTATCCCCGAAGGGGTTTTTTTATGGAATAGGAGGCAAACGACCAGACGGATCACGTGATGGTAAGCGATCAGGTGATCCGTCTGGTGATCTTAGGGTAGACAGAGGTGCACATTACGCCACTTAATGCCACTGTAAGTACAATGTAACACCCACTTGTCACTATTTATATTATGAGTCCCATGTAATATTGCCATATACCGGGCACAATTCCAAACTTTGTGTTACTGGGAATTTCTAAAAATCTCAGTTATACTTTGCCATTAGACTCGAAACCCTGCCCTGCAGTCGCACTTGCGACCACTCGGCCAACGAGGCAGCTAACAGTAACAAGGATCAATGCCAAAGAAAATACCATCTTACATTAACATCATAGGGTTCATTATCATGTCTAACTAAGTACCTACGTAATAATAATATAAAGCTAAATACAGCATTAAACAATTATAAAACTAAATAATAAACTTTTTACAACATAGGCGTACATTTTCATATACCAACTAATATAATTTCGACATATTTGCCTGAAGGCTTACAGTTTTATGTCATTGACTCGGTCGGCAAACAGAGCAACCTTTGCTTGTCACGCTTATCAATCTTGTAGGCTGTAAATCACGTAGGCATGTTGGTACAGTGACCAGCAGATAAACCTACACCAATGTATCAATTTATGTCATTGAATTTCCGACTTAATATCTAAATGATAGAGTTGAAAATCTAATGAAGAAGTTTGGCAGTAAAGCGTAGGTTGATCTGCCCACTGTACATAGGTAATTAGGTACTACCTATGTAGTGTCTAGACGAGAATAGTTCTTAGGTTTTATATAGAAGGTTTGAATTTTTTTGAGTAAGAGCAATAATCTTTGACTGTTTTATAGATGGATAATTTTTGTTTGCAGTGTTGTGACTTAAAAACAAAATACTGGTTATGTAAAGCTCGATGTGTAGCCGTGTGTACATGATAAACCTATGTGACAGATACTTCATACAAATTACGTAGTGTATTAAAATCTATAAAGCACATATTGGCTATCCAGACATTATGAAACAATATCGTGATTGCTCTTTAAGTAACGATATGTATCTTAGTAAATTTTGTCTTTGGGCCTCCGGTAACCTCACTCACACGACGAAACACAACGCAAGCGTTGTTTCACGTCGGTTTTCTGTGAGGCCGTGTATCACTCCGGTCGAGTCGTGCTATTGTTGTGCCGATGCATGGCTCTCCCATATTATTGTTGGAGTTGTCAAAATTCTCGTAATATGGAGTCTCACACCATGGTCGGTGTCTGCCAAGAGACTTGCCCTGCGCTCAACGTAACTAGAGTAGCTACTGGGTGCTACTGGTGGATATAACTAGGTAATATATACGTGCTTATACCAACATCATCAACGTTAACTTCGTCTCGATTTAAAAAGGAAATTGACACATTACTTGCATATTAAATAACTACTTCCCACGAGTTAATAATTATTCGAAATCGTTCATCCGCTGTACATTAATTTTAACGCAGATTTTATCGATATAATTTGTTAAGAGACTAACAAGTTACTGATCCAGTTATCTCTAACAGTTAATTATATCGGTTCAATTTGACAGACCCGCTTACCTAGTTACTGTACCACTGCTAAGTAAACGTTACTAAGGTCGATTTTAGCGTGACATTCATGTTGTTTAGGTTTCTTTAAGAATATGATGAGATGGTATTGCTTCTGAGCTAAAACTTTTACTAGGTGACATGACTGGAAATTAATATCATGAAAATGAAAATACTTTATTATTGTAGTTTGTGATTCCATTGGGTGATCGTGTGCCTATGTTAGAAGACCCGGTTCTTCCATAGCAGTTTTTACAAAATTAACAATAATAGTAGACATGTTTACAAACAAAAGGTATTAAAAAAAAATTAATAAAGACTTTTTTGACTGTGGTAGTCCATTGCTTCCGCTCTTGTGTAGACAGAGTACATAATCAAGCCTCCCTCTACTTAGGAGAAGTTTGCCAAAATCGGCACGCTTGGCATGATTGCTTTTGTTTTTCGGCCCGTCATAACCTCTCGGAACCGCTGTATCCTCTGTAAGCCAGTATACATTAGATACAACTATGAAAATACTGATGTTCGACGCGTCTCAAGGAAATGAATAACTGTCTTGGATGCCGCAACGAAATAAAATCAGAAGATATTATTCTGCCGAGGCTCCGGCTCGAAGCGGAGGAGTAGGAATGGAGTTGTTTTTAGTCAGTAAGAGTCTGACACTTCTCGCCTCACCCGGGCCGGTAGTCATTGGATGATTTTCCCCTCTCAAAAAAGGGGTAGAAGAAAAAATTAGAGGAGAAGAAAGACGGGTTGGTTTATCAAAGAGCACTGTTGCATAAAATACTACACCATAACCTGTGGGTTATGTAGTGTTTCTATATTTCTATCTATAGATACAACTAGTGTTTCTATCTATAGATACATCTATAAGACACTACATAACGTCCCACAAGCGTGAAGGCATCCAACAATTTTCGAATTACCTCCTTGCTACCTGAATACTGATGTATACTATCATATGAGTCAATTGCTACGTCTCGCCTTGCCTCATCCATGACGTAAGGAGGACAAGGCGATGGCACCTACTTACACAGTTAGTGCAATGATTAAAGCCTATATGAGTCATAGAACTTGTGTAAGTAGTAAGACTTGTACCTAACTGCTAAATTTGGTTAGTCGGTTATAGGTTAACTTAGTAGTAACGTGTTTAAAATACTGGTCCCCTAATTGAATTTTTATTAATGTTCTTTCGTATGAAAACTTCACCTTATTTTTTGAGGGGGGAAAATCATCCAATGACTTCTCCCACCCGGGTGAGGCGATAGGGAGTGTCAGTTTCTTACTGACTAAAAACTACCCCGTTCCTACTCCTACACTTCGAGCCGGAGCCCCGGCAAATCGAAAAATGCCATTCTGAGAATTATTATTGTAGATAAGTACGCAAAAATGAAGAACCATTGATGCAATATTTCACCGTTGAGGAACTGAAAGAACATTATATACGTCTAAAATGAATAAATAGATTTATCATAATTTCCTGTCGACTACCTATCATAAAATTTAAACTACATTCAAATCTCACTTCTACTGCCTTTATTATAAGTTTTATAATCCGATAAAACTCAATAGGTACTAACCTAAGATGCCAACCGTTATGTACCATTTGCAACACTTGATTCGTTACATTTGAACCGAAGAAGAACC